TGTCATTAATGCACTACCTGTGTTTACTATGTCTTGCTTTAAACTCCCTGTGTCCATTTGTAAAGCTATCTCTAGCTTGAGTGCACAATACTGGTGGAGCAAAGGAGAATCTCAAGAGAGAGGCATCTCATGGAAAGCTTGGAAGTATATAACTACCCCAAAAGACTATGGAGGCATTGTCTTCAAGGATGTCAGTTCTTTCAACCAGGCTTTAATATGCAAGCAACTTTGGAGATTAGTATCACAACCAGATCTTCTGGTAAGTAAGGTGCTCAAAGATAGATACTTTCCCATTTGTAACATTTCTGATGTTAAAAAAAACCCAGGGGGGATCTTGGATTTGGAATACTTGGGTTGAATGTCTGCCTATCTTGGCTCAAGGGTACAAAACAGAGATAAACAATGGGGCTGCCACTAGAATCTCTGACATTGGTTGGATCCCTGCTATGCCTTGTCAAAAACCATCCCTGCTTGAGGTTGCTATGGGACACATCACTTGGGTGAATGAGCTAATTCATGAGGACTGGCTTAGGCATCGGAGGCCCGACGCCGGGGCCACCCCCGACGTTGGGTTATGCAGGTACGGAGGCCGTTCGAGTTGAAGGAGCCCGGGTGAAACTTATTCACTTCACACCCTGATAGAGATGACAGATTTTTATGGGAATTAGAAAAGAAAGGCAACTTCTCAGTTGCAAGCACCTATGCATTTCTGTCTCAACATAAACTCTCTCTGCTTGATCTGCCTGAATCGAGCTCACATGCTACTCTCTGCAAATCTATTCAATATAGGCATTGGAAGCTCAAAGTTGCTGGAAAATTGAAGCACTTTATATGGAAGTGCCATTCTAGCACCCTCCATGTCTCTTCTAACTTGAGGAAGAGAAGAATTGATATTGATCCTATCTGTTCTATCTGTGGTGAAGGTTTTGAAACTATTGAGCACATTTTCTTTTCCTGTTCCAGTGCTTCACAAGTTTGGAAGGTCTCCCCTGTGTAGTGGGATGGGCTTGCTGATTTCACAGACTCTTTCAAATGTTGGTGGTACAAAGTTTGTTCTCTTTATCACTCCAAGGTAGCTAAAGATCGAATTCAACTCTCAACATATATTCTTTGGTGGCTTTGGAAGACAAGAAACATGTGGTTTTTTCATCAATCTCTCATGCCGGTTCAAATTTTGGTGAAATCTGCTCTTTCGGATTGGCTTTCTTTCTCTTTGTCTTCTAGTTAGTTTTTCCTTGGTTTAAGTTGAATATCCTTACTAGGAATTGTTGCAGTGGTGGGTTATCTCCTTGTTTTTTTCCTACCCGTTTTTTTTAGTTTGAGGCTCTAGGCTCACTTGTTAGTGTGCCTCTCATTTTTATTTTTCGATTGGATTGTAGTTGGCTTGCTTTGTATTTGAACTTTGTCTGAGTTCGAGTTATATAATAGTTCCCCTGTCGTTTTGAAAAAAAAAAAAAAGAAAACTAATGAGCTTTATATATATGTGTACTTTTCAAATTCACTAGGACGAATCCCGTGCGATGCACAGGTAATAGATATTAATTATTATTTATAAATTAAAATTTTCGTTAAATAATATTTGTAAAATAGAATAAAAAAAATAAATGTTTAATACAATCTACATATAGAATTTATTTAAAATGTTATATAAATTTTGAATTGTGCAAAATTACATAAAAATACCTATTTAAAATTACTACACATCTCGTGCTCTGCATATAACAGATAATAAATTACATTATATTCATTTCATATTATGTGTTATTTTAAAATTTTTATTCACAAATTCGATTTGACTATAATGTTAGTCCATAAAATAATTATTTTGGTAAAATATATTTAAAAACTTATGTGAATGATAAGTATAAATGTAAAACATATATTGTTTAATTGATTAAAATGAATTTATTTTTGTATAAAATATCCAAATAAAAAAATTTAAGTAGTTGAGTAAAAACAATCAGTTGTAAGATTTTTTATGCCAAAAAAATCGACACTCTTTATCATGCTAAAAATATGAAAGTGCATTTCACACAAAAATTATTTGAAATGTCATATCAAAAGATGAATTAAATCGAGACCCCTAATTATACAAAAAAAATAAAATTACCAGAGTTTATTTTATTAAGAAAAAATATCGTTACACGCACATTATATTAAAATATCAATTTATATTATTTTGTTAGAGGTACGGTAATTTTATTATATTAATTTCGCACGAAAAATTGAAATAATATTTGAAACCCAACCCTAAAAACCAATATATTAGTCTGCGCATTATAGAAAAAATTACGTCGTATATTGATTAATTTTTCAACAATTTTTTTACAAATAAAAAAAAATAGTTATCTAATAACCAAAAATATATTTGCTCACTTTATACCATATATTAATTAATTTATTTCCCAGATAAACAACCATCAATACCAAAAATAAATTCGTCCACTATATACTACTTATTAATTAATTCACATGATTTGAGTAATTGAGGTATCTTAAAATATTGCTTAATTACTTACTTAAATAATGACCCGCAATTTCTATAAGTGATCATTTGAATTGCACCATAAATTGTTAAGTTAATTTCTTGAAATAGTAAACAATTTTTTTAAAGGGAAATAGTTACTTTTTGAAAAATAATCAAACCTAATAATACATGAAGTTCTTGGAAAGTAATTGACTGTATTGATAAAAATATATGCCAAACTGAAGTTCAGATTGTCCACAAATGAATTGAATATCTTGGACAACCATTCAAAGAATTGAATATATTTAATATATTCCATCACAATATTGGACAACCATTCGTTGAATTGAATTTCTTTAATATGGCCTTCTCTCGACAACTTCTCCACCTCCTACTCGATCACCTTATCCATCTCTACGCCGTGGTGCCTCCTTTTCTGTCTTACCGGCCTCACACTGAGGTCGATATTTAACTTGTGCTCGATCGTCTTTGCCTTAATCCTCGTCAGTTCCTCCGCAGTGTAAGAACAAATGTCCGCAAACTCCCATGTCAACTCGATTAACCTTTTTCTTATTGCCTCCTCCAATTCCTTGCCAATTCTGAATTTACGTTCCTCGCAACGTTGCACCATCTGAACCTCCTCGATTTCTCCGCCGGGCTGCATATGCCCCTTTTCTTTTCCTCTGTCAAGTTTATCTTTACCTTCCTTCGATCGTGAGCTTCCTAGTCGAACTGACACCTCCTTGCTCGACTTTGCTTGTTTCTCTGCTAATTGTTTGTTATTACTCACAGTGGTTTGATAATAGCTCCTTGAGGTAAGCTGGTCTCCTGCAACCTCGTCTACGTTTTCACCTACTGGATATTTGATCGTTATGTGGTACGTCGATACCACTGCTTGGAAGGCATTCAGACCAGTCCTCTTCAAGATAATGTTGAACGACGATTATGCTCCGACCACCAAAAACCTCACCGTTCGCACCTTCCTGATCTCACCCACACCTGGTGCCATCGTCAGGATCACCTCTCCTCCATTGAAACCATACTAAGCCGCCGCCTCCGACTTTAACTCCAAATTCAGATGCTTATTAGTTTGGGCAAAGCAATCATAGAACATCACATCGATCAAACTTCCCGTATCGATGAATACCCTTTTTGCATTAAAACCGACCACTTCCGTTGTGATCACCAACGCGTCATTGTGGGTAGCAAGATCCCCTTACCATCTTCTGCTCGAAAGCTGATAAATAGGAATCACAGACATCGGAGTGATAATTTCAACCTCCTCCCTCTTTCGCTTAGTTGCTCGAGCATGCTCCTTCCTGGCATTGTTCGAGTCACCATCTGTTGGTCCAAACGAGATCGTGCCCCTCTTCGTGGACATTTCACCTCCCTGCTCCTCCCTATCTTCACAACCACGCCACCTCTTTTCACCATTACCTCCTCGATCACCTCTTCCCCCCCGAGCCTCATCCTCCTCATCATCATATTTGTCACTTCTCCCAACTGAATCCTCTCGGCACTTCCTCCATTCTTTCACCTTTACTCGATCATGATAAACAAACTCCTTTAGGTGCCCTGCTCAAATTAGGTGCCCAATCTCGTCCTTTAGATGCCTGCAGTTTTTCGTGTATGCTCATAATCTCTGTGAAACTGGAAGTACTTCTTCGACCTAGGCTGAGTAGGTCCCTCGAACCTCGTCTTCGGCCAAGTGAACTCAATGCTTTTCAATTTTTCCTCCATCGCCATAAGCACCTCTCCTATTTTAGTACTCATGGGTGTGAAGTTGTGGTATCTTTGACCGTATGATAGCAGAGGTCGACCATGCCAACAATTCTCCCACCCTTCTCGCTGCGGACCTCGCCTATCTCTCCTTGGCAATGTTCTCTTAGGTTGGCCTCGCCTGGAGGAACTCCTTCTGGGCGAACCTCGCCTAGACGAACTCACTCCTCCTCGCTTGAGCTCCGGTCCCGCCAGGTCCTCTAATGTGGCGGACTCCGTCTCTGTCTCCTCCAGATTGATGTACTTTTTGCATCTCTTCATCACTTCATCATACGTTCGAGCAGGTGTCTTAGCCAGAGACGCTCGACATGATCCTGCTCGAGGACTTCTGATCAACCAACATGTCTTGATCTCGTCTGTTGATGTTGGAATTTTCAGGCACGTTTGATTGTATCGAGCAACGTACTTTCGCAGAGACTCATTCTCTCCTTGCCGCATCGCCATTAAAGTGAGGTATGTTTTCTACTGCATCACTGCGCTCGAATACTAATTTGTCAACTTGTTGGCAAGATCCTCAAAATCCTTGATCGACCTTGGGGAAAGCTGGTGGAACCAATTGAGGCGCCTCCTCACAAAGTGGATAAAAAGGCCCTACAGCTAACTGAATATGAATATCCATGTAAGACAACCATATTTTCACAGGTCCTCACGTGTCTCGACGAGTCCGTCGACCCATGGTAAGTAATATTTGTCTCTCTCAAATTTGCTAGCAATGGGGCTGTCAAGATCTCCCTCGAGAACGAGTGTCCACGAGCTCGCCTCTCCTGCCTTCCATCCACCCTCTCTTGCAACTGGAAAAGTTGCTCGATCCTCTCCATCGCCCTGTCTCTATGGTCTCCCTCTCCACCATAGCTTGACACATCTTTCTTCTGCTCCCCTACCATCGTGGTCGGCACAGATGCAACGCGAGAAGTGTGGTTGTTGACTTGTTGCACTGCCTGCGCCGTCGCATTGGCCATTATCCTCTGCATCTCCTCCCTGGTCATCGTCACCATCTGCTGGACAGGAGGTGCCACTACTCCCTCCAGCTGGATATGGGGGTGGAGGTGTAGGAACCACCTTCGTCATCACTGCACAAGCCTCCTGTGCCCGACTAAGATCTCCCTATACTACCGGGACCGCCGATGAAACCTTCAAACCTTGCGGAGCAAGTGCTGGGGTTATTAGTGTCTGCAAAGGTCCGAAGAAGCCAAGAGGGGGGCCTGCTCCGAACGATCTGGCCATCGTCCATGCCTCCTCAAACGACGACTGTAAGTTAACACGAGGAATTTCGTTCGCCATAGCTACACCTCACACAATTAGCTTTTCGAACAGAGTCCCACAGACTACGCCAATAATACAGTTCGACACTGCGACCGACTGAGAACTGTCTCGATCTTTCTATCCTCGCCGATAGAATGCCAAAACCTGCACGAAACTCTCACACTGGAAGGATTTTCTTGCAAAGAGTCTCCTCCACTCAAGTCATTATTGAGAAGTATTATGAGTGATAATGAAATATATGAGACATTGTGTGTAAAACGATTAGCCTCACCCCTATATATAGATGTGAGATACCTACCCTAGAAGCTGTCCGGGGTTGCTGAGTTGACTGCCCGGCCTGCTCGATCGTACAATCTCTTGTGTATGCGTCAGTAATGTGTCAGGAATGTATCAGAAGCAGTTGTTGGTATAAACCAATTAGCTCAAGCAACTTTCCCTACGCACATGTATCAGAGGTTCCCGCGGAGGCTCTTGTGCTCGACCAAATCTGGATAAACTATTAAGTTGCTTCTGGCGTAGGGGGTGGTCGACCTTACTATCCTTTGCTCGACCACCTAGGCTTTCGATATTCTTGTGGTCATAACCTTGGTCTACCATTGTCCAGCGCAAACTTCGTTCGACCAGATCATTTAATCCAATTTATTCCACCATCCAACTAGACCGGTCTAAGGTACAATATTCAATATCAGTATGTTTTTGAAATATTCATATAATTTGAAGTTCAGGCTCTTATGGTTTCTCGAAAACAAGAATCAAGTGGTTATTATTTTTATATTAAAAGTTATAAAGAAAGTTTGTTCGTCGCGCAGTCAGTCTTCTTTGAAATCATAGTCGTACAAGTCTATACGTTCTTTGTTGGTTTGGCCATCTTCATTTAGTCGAACGATTTTGATGTTTGAATATAAATTGTAGATGTGTATCTTATGTTAAAATAAGCGCAAGAATCACAAGATTATCTCTTTTACACTGAAAGTTATGTCCAATGTTGGATTATAGCGTGATCTATTTTCTTGTCAAATGTGGTTGCACTGCAGTCTGTCTTACTTTGCTTTTTTTTTTTAACATTTTCTTGTGACGTGACATTTTTTAGGTCTTCAAATGATTTGTAAATTTGTCTCTTATGTTTCAGAGGGTAGAAAATTCAAAGACAAAAACTATCTAATGAAAAAGCTAGATATAAGTGAAATAATATCAGATCTTAGACCCGCGATTTGCGCCTCTAAATCCTGGGTCATAAGCCTGCGCGATCGTCCATAAGATCACACCCCAAATCCATGTAGATCGCGCCCTTCACTATGCTGGCACACTAAAATTGTCGAATGTCATCGTTACTGTCCTCACTGGTCGTACTGTCTGGTATCTCTGGGTCGAGCAATTGCTCGAGCAGCTCGTTCTTTGTACATTCAATCCGTGGGCTTGTTATTCTACCCGCTTGCCCGTTGTCGACCTGTGTGCTTGATGGTCGACCCGTCTGTCCCTTCTCGACTAGTGTGCTCGGTTTTTCACCTATCGATGTCTCGTCGAGTAATTAGTACGTACCTCCACGACTCGAGTTTCCCTCTTGCATGCTCGGTAAGCTCAACAATACCTTCATTCTCATCAGATCACTGTATGACTCTGCATCACAGGCGCGCGGTCTCCCCAACATCGAGCCTCAGCAACACCGCGCACTATCGCTGCGGCCAGAATGTAGCGTATGTGGCATGCTGTTGGGAACTTACAGTCGACAGTCTCGGCTGAGGCGCCCACCACTGTGGCTGCGACCACTCGACCAAAGGCTTGTGGTTCGGTTAAAGGGCTCAAGCAATAGTTTCCACCAGGTTTTAGAGGCACCACACAAGGACTCGAAATGTGGTTTTCAAGGCTCAATCTAAACTAAATATTTTTCGCAAAAACATCCAAAAATTAAGGCATGAAAGGCTTTGAGTTTCAAGGCAAACAATGGGCTTCAACAAATCAAATTTCGCACAAATTATCACACAACCAAGGCTTAAAAATGAGTTCTAAAGTTCGGCCATTTTTCACAATTCACACGCAAAACTAAAGATTCAAAACAAGCACTTCAACTCCACATGGATCTTGAATTTTCGGAAATAGATCTAAGGGAAAAAAACTTTTTCCCATCTGAACTATCACGATTTTGACGCTTTACCATACAAACTATTTTTTTTGGCAAACCACCATATTAACTACCAGCTTTTTTCACTTTGCCCTCCAAAACCGTATTTAAAGTTGTTTTGTAGAAAAAAAGCTGATTTACAAGGACATTTTGGGAATTGCAGATTTTTAAAATATTACAAAAGTAACCAAAGGACCAAAACATAATTTATAGACTATTCAAATATAACAAATAAACCCCTATTGTTTGTCAAATTATCACCTATTAACCTATTTTTATGCATTTTCATTTTTTAAATTTAAGAAAAAAAAAATAAAATTATGCCTCTTGAATTTGTCCCGTCAACACCATTCACAAACCCTCACCGCCGCACCTCCTCCCTAAAAAACTCCTTAGGAGGTCAATGAAAACCCTAGCCGCCGCCACATCCGAGCCTTCCAGCACAACCTAAAACCCTAGGTGTCGCCGCCCCCATCCCAATCTGAGCCCTCCTCAAGCACAACTACAAGCCGCAACACTCCGACAAGACCCCCTGCCATTGACGCGAACATCGGCTTTTCATCTTCGATTTCCCCAATACTGGCTCGACGACGCGACGGCGGTGATGGATTCGTTCAACCGAACAATCTGTGCTGGAGGTATTTCTCGTCGGGCCCGAAATCTGAATTCTTGAGGACACCGGAGTGCAGGAGGCCGGGCATACAGAGAAGGGTGCAGGTGTTCTTGATTCATTTGGATTTCTCACAAATCGATACATGTTCCCATTGCTGTCTAAATTCCTGGTGAAGGCCTCAAAGAAATTTTATGAGAACATAAGATTCAAATTCTGCAGATTGTAACAGATTGTAATGATGCATCAGAAGGAAGTCTGCAAGAGTTTAACACATTTGATTTTTTTTTTTTCTTTTTGATATTTAGGTTGTTTTTTTTTTAATTTTTTAACATATAAAATATCTAAAATACCCTCGAAAGCTGGTTTTAATGATGCGAAACCGGGCTTAAACCTGGTATAGGAGGCAATTTGACAACCCCGTGTAGTTCAGATGGTGGTTTGCCAAAAAAAATAGTTTGTATGGTAAAACGCCAAAATCGTGATTGTTCAGATGGCAAAAAGTTTTTTTCCCTATATCTAAGTCCAAACAATTAACCAAATAAACAAAAGAGAAGGGGAATAAGGTTTAACCTCTCTTCTTGAAGCTACAAGCTAGGTTGACAAGGGATCGAATTTGGTATGGATTATGGTTCGGCCTTCACGTGCTCGGCTTCTCTCTGACGTTTCTCGGGTGGAATTCGACCAGGCCTCGATGATCCTCGGTCAGACTCTCGTCACGCTCGACAAGGATGTGCACGCGTGATCTTGATCTCGACTGGGTGTCTGCGGCACTCGGGATGCCACCGGCTCTAGAGCGCGGCTGTGCTTACTTGCGGCTTGCGGTGGCTGGCTGCTTCACGCCGGCGGGAGAAGGATATTGGGAGGTGTTCGAGGAGAAAATAGTTCAGTATGTATCTTTGGCCTTTTGCTGCTATTCAAGGTCTGAACAAGTGGAGTTTAAGGCCTAAAAAACTTGTATAAAACGTCTATGGCAAGGGATGAGGAGAGAGATTTTCCTAAAAAGAATAAAGAAAAATCATAAATGATATTAATACTATAAATGAGTAAAGTAAAAAACACAATCCTGGGGGACTTTTGGCAGGTCAAAAGGACGATCTAGGGGAGGTACACAGTGTGCAAAAACTTACCAAACTTGGCACTATAATTTAAAATTCGAAACAACACTTGACAACTCACTCTAGGCTAGGGGTGGCCATGTTGAAGGATTTTTGGGCCAAAACTTGAACATACTAAGAGTGCCCACAATACTTTGGGTCTCTTTTTGCATATGTGGCAAATAAATAGACTTAAGTCCATAATGACATGGACAAATCCAAACTAAAAAATCTAAAATCTATCCAATGCAAAACAAAAAAGTATTAGGTCTAGAATACTAAACAACCAATATAAATATAGTAATAATAAATGCATACAAAAAAATGTGTTTTGCCTATTAAAAAGAAAAAGAAATTTGTGAACAATTAATGACTATGTGGATTTGCACTTGGGTCCAAAATAGACCCAAGTGTGGACTTAGTCTCTTTTTTCTAGTGCCACATAAGTTAGACTATGTCCACTTTTAATTACATTGTGGAACATTTTTTATAGACTAGGTCTATTTCCTACATGGCATGTGATATTTTTCTAAGAGACCCAAAGCATTGTGGGTGCTCTAAGGCCTAAAAATTGGGTTTAAAAAGGTCGAGCAATAACTTGAATTATGTTTGGAAAAACGGCTATAAGAAGATCACAAACCCGACTACACTTAAAAATGAACAAATGAATGATTTTTTGATTGACGAAGAAATAAAAGTTAAAAATAATTTATGTAAACGAGGATATCTACAAATATTAGTTAACTTATTAGACTAAATAGATGAAGGCATCTAAATAATCATAATAAGTTTATTAGGGAAATTTGTCGAGACAAATGAAATAAATGC